GATAGGGGCGAGGCCAGCACCACCAAGGCGACCTCTGCCTGGGGATGCGTATGGAGGCGCGCCTGGGCAGCTCTGGGCGACTTCGGTGGCATTGGGCCCCAAGGGCTCACGATTCAGAAAGTGAAGGCGCACGCCACGTCGGCCATGGTCCGCAACGGAGACATCACTGCACGCGACAGGCGAGGCAACTGGGAGGCCGACCGTACGGCGAAGGCGGTTGCAGCTGCAGTGAGGGCGTCGCTTGAGCTACGCGAAGCCTGGCAGCGGCGTTCGCTCACCCTCGACGGAGTTGTGCGCTGGGTTGCGCGTGCGGGGTGCGAGGCAGCTGACCTGAAGCTGGACATCGACCCGAACTGCAAGCCGATTCACAAGGGGCCTCCGCTCAGCATCACAAGGCACAACGTCGTCAAGGTGGCGAGAGGTGGAGTACATTGCAGGGCCTGCCTCAAGACGGCGTACGCGGACCTCAGCATCAAGAGGCTGCTCAAGGACCCGTGTGTGGCCAAGCCGTTTGCGCCCGTGGCTAGTGGCATGAGACGCAAGCCTACGGCGTCGGCGTTGGCTTCCGCAGGCGCTGTGGCGGTGGCGCTGGCGGCAGCGCACAGGCTTGAGCAGGAGGCGAGGAGCGCTCACGTCGGCGAGCGCGTGGCGTACCCCGACGCCGAGCTCCAGCAGGAAGCGCCGAGGCTCGCCGACGCCGCCCGCGAGCATCCTGCTGCGGGCTTGCAGGATCTGCAACGCCCCGAGGCGGCGGCGGCAGGCGGTGGCACCAGCAGCAGCAGCAGCGGCCAGGATCTTTCGCCTGGCGATGCCCTCTTGCGCGCAGCGGCAGCTGCCCGCGCTGCGCGCGAGGCCGAGGGCAGGGCGGACGCGGATCCCGCCGACGGCCAGGCAAGTGCAGGTCTCGAGGTCGCCCAGGTCTCCATGTCGGAGGACGCGCCCGAGGGATCTGGCACTCAGGCAGCAGGTGGGGCAGGCCACGAGCTGCTCAGCATCAACGGCTTCAGGATCTGCACTCGTTGCAAGGCCTATGCCAAGGAGCTCAACGGCAAGCACAGGTCGCTCGGCAGGCTGTGTGTGGCTGCCTCTGGCAACGCGCTGCGCCTGCGCAACCTGAAGATTGCCAACATCAGGGCTGGCCTGGACCCGAAGACGGGCAGGCGCCTGAGTGAGTGATTTGGGGAGTGCCTTCGGTGGTCTAGGCCTTTTCAGGCCTGGCACGGGGTGGATGGCGGCTCGCGTGGCTGCCTCACCTGACGGCGCACACCCACGCAGCGTGGCGTGCACGCTGATTGTGGAGGCCGCTGTTCGCGGAGCCTCCCAGCCGCGCTCCGCGGCTCGCGCCATTTTGGCGGCGGGATCGGCTCGTGCTGCACGAGCTGCCTGGTGTGTACAAAAAAAGTGACTCTAATCCGCAATGTTTTATGTACGTCTGCTGCTATATATTGCGCCTTTCCTGGGGCACGAAACCTCTCTAGGAGGTCCCAGGAGGCCCCAAGAGGCTCCTGGAGACCCCAGGAAGCCCCAGTAGGTTCCAGGAGGCCCCAGGAGACCCCAGGCTCATGCACAGAGACGCGCTCGTACTACTGAGGTTCATTCACACTCCAATTCATTCGCAGTTAGATTGATGTCCAGACCGTCACAACTGAAGCCCGTTAATATTCGAAAGCTCTTGCGCCTAGACACTCACGGCGGACAGGTCCATGCGAGTAGATGCACATATGGGGTAATTTAAATTTCTCGCCCAAAATCCGCCTGTAGGGGGACATGCCCGACCTAAGCGGGGCGACAATCTGCCCGCGTGCAGGGCGCAGCGTGTCGCCTGAACCGCCGCGGCGACTCGCTGAGCAGCAGCTCCCGACCGTGGAAGTCTGCGCCCGGGCCGTGGGCAGGAAGTCCCCGCCGAGATCCCCGAGATCGGGGCGGGGCACTGTTGTCACACCGGGCATTCTCGCGGGCCCCAGGGCCAGCACGGATCCATCCGGGCCGAAGAATCAGCAGGAACATTGGGCTTTTGGACTGGGGCCATAATTTGTTTCACGATGCTGCGCGGTTTCCCTGCCATCCTGTGGTATCGTGTGCTCGTTTCGAGTCTGCAGCACCCCGCGTGTCCCCCTGTCCTCCCCTCCACTCTTCTCCTCTCCCCCTTCCTCCCCATCCCTGCCCCTGCCCTCTCACGGCTCGTGGCCCCCTGAGGGGGGGGTACGCGCCCCAGTGGCCGTGCCCGCGTGGCGGCACCGCCCCAGTTTTGCGTCCCTCCTGCACGCTTCGCGGGGCCCCGCAGGGAGCTCCAACAGCGGCGCCAGGCCAGCGCCCGCATGGCGGCGCCGCGCCCGTTTTGGCTCTCCTCCCGCACGCCTCGTGGCCCCATAGGGAGCTCTTTCCTTCAGCCCACCTGCCTTTGCGATACTCACGTCTGCATACGGCTGGGCCCTTCGAGAATATAATTTGTGATGCCAGAGATCCAAGGAACATCCTTTCTTGGCCGAGGCTGTTGTACGCAAGCCAGAACAGCCAGCAGAGCTGGGGAGTTAGTTGCAACTGGCATGCGGGATGAGAACCACTGCCAGGTTCTACGGCCACCTGCCACCTTTGTGCCCTTGGCGTCTGTTGGCCGCGACGCCGCCCCGCGCTTGCTGCCAGGGGTGCAGCACCGGCTGGCCGTCGAACGTGGGGTCGCGCATTGCGGCCGCGACGAAGTTCCACCTTCCCGTCTCTGACGGGGCGGCGTGCGTCGCCTTCCGCGGGCGGGGCGGGCCCTGCGGGGCTGGAAGCGTCTCGCCCCGGGGCGGGCGCGGCTGCCCTTGTCGCCCTGTCGCGGGAAGCGGTGGCGCTGATCGCGGAGCAGGTGGTGACGGGCGGCAACTGGGCGTCGGCGGGGCGGGCGGCGCCTGCCTCCCACGGATGCTTCAGGTCCGGCGAGAGCCCCAGGCTGACGCGCGAGAGAGCGGCGCCGCCCTTGCAAGGCAGCCGCGCGGGAAGCCGCCCCCGGCGCTGCGCCCCTTCGAGGCGACGATGGCGAGCCAGACGCGCCAGTTCGACGAGCCCGTCGCGGTGGATGCGCTAGACTTCGAGCGGCCCATTGACCCGGCGCTGAGTTGGCCAGCTGGCCGCGACAGAACACGCCCCAGGGGCGGCTCTTCTTCGCGTTTAGCCAGTCCGCCCTCGTCGAGCGCGTCCGCCAGGCCGCTCTCCAGGGGGGGCTGGAGGCGCTCAAGTCCGAGCTCCCCACGCTGCGCCGCAGCGGCCCTTCGTTTGACCAGGTCATAGAGTGGTGCGCACCGAGCAAGACAAAGCTGCGTGGTCGGCGGATGTTCGACGCCTCCACTCAGGGGCATCGGAAAGAGGGCTGCGTTTCCGAACACGTTCCACCGCCTGCAGCCCGACTCCGAAGCGCAGGCCCTAGGGGCGGGCCCCGGGCCAGCTGGGGCCACGCCTCGCGCGGCTCTCGAGCGCCTGCTTCCTGCCCAGCGCCGCGGGAGGGGTCGGTCGCAAGTTTTTCTGGATATCTTGAGCGACCGCGGCCGGCCCGCGGCAGCGATGCGAAGGCGCGCGCGCTTGGTCTTGGAGTGGGACGCGAAGCGGGGGCCGAGCTGGGGCCCGACACTGCAGGCGAAGCAGCGCTTGATCCGAGGCTGGATCGCCGCCGGGCCAGTGTGAGGCGCCCACCTTTGCACGCCGTGCAGCACCTGGTTCCAGTCTCGCGACCGCGGGCCTGTTCGGGATCCTCCGCGTCCTCGCAAGGGCCCCCCCTCCCCGCCTGAGCCGCGATGAGCATATATTCGGGTTGTCCCAGCATGTCTTCCGCTTAGGCCCGCCCCGCCAACGATCGGAGGGCCGTCAATTGGGGGGGCGAGGAATTGGGGGGGAGGCAGCGGGGGGGTTTCAAGGCCCAGACAGGGCACGTGGGCACGTGTGTTCCCCACCATATACCGTCCCCCGTCAACTCGTGCCCAAAACGATCGTGGGTGGCGGCTGTGTGGCGTCTGAATCTCAGCGTGCGTCACGCCGCGCCGCAGCTGTTCTGTTCTGGAACACCGCGCAGCGGCTTCCAAATGCCACCACATGTTGCTGGCCATCTTGGCCGGTCGCCTGGCCAGGGCAGGCGGGTCACCCGCCTCCCCCACGGGCCGCTCTGCTGCTGTTCTGCTTCTCCTCCGACGTCAGGACTTCTCCTCACGGCCTGGGCATCCCGTGGCTCTCAGCCTCAGGCCGCTCCTGCGTGGCAGTTCCTCCTGAGCGGCCTTGTGTTGCGGCCCCGGCACCCGAAAGCGAGCCCCCCGCAGTGGCCGCACCTGATGAAACGCTGGCCGTCGCGATTCTTTCCGCGGAGGGAAGGGAGGGAGTGTGGGGACGGACCTCCCTCCCTCCCCCCCCACCCTTTCCATCCAGCGATCGATCGACGCGCGCTCCATGCACGCACCTGCGCTGCACTGCTGCACCAACTCTTGGCGCCAGGGGGGTCGAGAACGGATGCGAATACTTCGCTCCAGAGGCTAGATTTAAGTCGGGCCCGTTCCTCTACAGGAGGAATATTCAGAATTAGTCGAAAAATAGTATGGGGACTAATTTCTGAATATTTGTTTTTGCCGTTTTGGAATGTTTTTTACTTTTCGTTGTAGGGGGACACGCCCGACTTAAGGCTAGATAGTTGTCCTCAGGCCCAACAGTAGGCATGTCAAATAAGAGAACGGCCTGTCATCGGGTGCCCCCTGGAGATTGCTTATCCCCCGATGGCCCAAAGACCCACAGAGGCTCCGGGGAACCCTAGGACCCACAATTATCTACAAAAAGTGTGCCCCTGACTTCTGATCGTATGTGTCCACTCCTCCTCCTCCTCCTCCTCCTCCTCCTCCTCCTCGTTTTCCTTCTCCTCCTCCTCCTCCTTCTCCTCCTCCTCCTCCTCCTCCGCCCCCGCGCCACCGAGGGCGCAAGGGGGAGCGAAGCGAAGGGGCAGCAGCGAGGGAGCCGTGCGGCGCGCAGAGCTCCCCCGCCGCGAGGTGCTCGAGGCGCTCCGCGCGGCGGGCGCCCTGGCGGACGTGGGCGACGCGCTGCTCGGCGGCGGCGTGGCCGCCGAGTGGCTCGCGGCGCAGGCGCCGCCGCTCTGCCGGGGGACGACGACGACAGACGACGACGACGACGACAGCCGACGACGACGACGACAGACGACGGCGACAGACGACGACGCGGAGGTGAGCACTCGGCCGTGACGGCGATGACGACGACTGCGACAGACGACGAGGACGACGACAGACGACGGCGACGACAGACGACGACGACGCGGAGGTGAGCACTCGGCCGTGACGGCGATGACGACGACGGCGACAGACGACGGCGACGACAGACGACGAGGAGGTGAGCACGCGGCCGTGACGGCGATGACGACGACGGCGAAGACGACGACAGACGACAGACGACAGACGACAACGACGACGACGACAGACGACGACAAACGACGACGACGACAGCCGACGACGCCGACGAGGAGTTGAGCACTCGGCCGTGACGGCGATGACGACCGACGGCGAAGACGACGACGACAGACGACGACGACGGACGACGACGACGACGACGACGACCACGACGACGACGACGACAGTCGACGACGACAGACGACGAAGACGACGACGACGAGGAGGTGAACGCGCGGCCGTGACGGCGATGACGACGGCGAAGACGACGACGACGAAGAAAGACGACAGACGACCGACGACGACGACAGACGACGACGACGACAGACGACGAAGACGACGACGACGGCGAAGACGACGACGACGGCGAAGACGACGACGAGGAGGTGAGCACGCGGCCGTGACGGCGATGACGACGACGGCGACGACAAAGACGACGACGACAGACGACGACGACGACGCTGACGACGACGACGACAGACGACGACGGCGAAGACGACGATGACGACAGACGACTGCCGACAGATGACGACGACGCCAGACGACGACAACAGACGACGACGTCGACGGACAACGACGACAGACGACAGACGACGACGACAGACGACGACGACGACGAGGAGGCGCTTACGCGGCCGTGACAACGACGCAGATCTCGACGACGACGATGACGACAGACGACGACGACAGACGACGACGACCACAGACGATGACGACGACGAGGAGGTGAGCACGCGGCCGTGACGGCGATGACGACGACGGCGAAGACGACGACGACGACAAAAGACGACGACAGACGACGCCGACGACGAGGAGGTGAGCACGCGGCCCTGACGGCGATGACGACGACGGCGAAGACGACGACGACGTTGACGACAGACAACGGCAACGACGACGACAGACGAGGACAGATGATGACGAAGATGCCGACGAGGAGGTGAGCACGCGGCCGTGACGGCGATGACGACGACGGGGAAGACGACCACGACAGACGACGACGACAGACGACGACGACGACAGACGACGACGACGACGACGACGACGATTCGGTGAGCACGCATCCGTGACGGCGATGACGACGACGGCGAAGACGACGACGACGACGTCGATGACAAACGACAGACGACAGACGACGACGACGACCACAGGCGACGTCGACGACGAGGAGGTGAGCGCGCGGGCGCGACGGCGAAGACGACCACGGCGAACACGACGACGACGACGGCAGACGACAGACGACAGACGACAGACGTCGATGACAGACGACGACGACGACATACGACGACGATCACGACAAACGAAGTCGACGACGAGGAGGTGAGCACGCGGCCGTGACGTCAAAGACGACGACGGCGAAGACGATGGTGACGACAGACGACAGACGACGGCGACGACAGACGACGACGAAGAAGACGACGACGACGACGACGTGAGCGCGCGGCCGTGACGGCGATGACGACGATGGCGAAGACGACGACGACAGACGAAAGACGACGGACGACAGACCTCGACGACGATGACGACAGACGACAGACGACTACAGCCGACAGCCAACGGCGACGACGACGAGGGTGAGCACGCTGCCGTGACGGCGATGACGACGACGGCGAAGACGACGACGACAGACGACGACGACGACAGACGACGACGACGATTACGACGACAGACGGATGACGACGACGACAGACGACGACGACGAGGAGATAAGCACGTGGCCGTGATGGCGTTGACGACGACGGCGAAGACGACGACGACGACAGACGACGACAGACGACGACGACAGATGACGAGGAAAGACGACGGCGACAGACGACAGACACCGATGACGACGACGACGACGAGGAGGTGAGCACGCGGCCCTGACCGCGATGACGACGACGGCGACGCCGACGACGACAGGGAGACGACGACGACAGACGACGACAGACGACGACGGCGACAGACGACGACGGCAGACGACGGCGACGACGACGACGAGGAGGTGAGCACGCGGCCGTGACGGCGATGACGACGATGGCGAAGACGAAGACGACGACGACAGACGACAGACGACGACGACAGACGACGACGACTGACGTTAGACGAGGACGACGAGGAGGTGAGCACGCGGCCGTGACGTCGATGACGGCGACGGCGAAGACGACGACGACGAGAACGACGACGAGGACAGACGACGACGACGACAGACGACGACAGACGACGACGACGACGACGAGGAGGTGAGCACGCGGCCGTGACGGCGATGACGACGGCGAAGACGACGACGAAGACAGACGACGACGACAGACGACGGCGACGACGATGAGGTGGTGAGCACGCCGCCGTGACGGCAGTGGCGACGACGGCGAAGACGACGACGACGACGATTACGACGACAGACGACGACGGACGACGACGACGACGGACAACGACGACGACAGTCAACGACGACAGACGACGACGACGACGACGACGAGGAGGTGAGCACGCGGCCGTGACAACGATGACGGCGACGTTGCAGACTTCGACGACGACGATGACGACAGACGACGAAAGACGACGACGACGACAGACGACGACGACCACAGACGACGACGACGAGGAGATGAGCACGCGGTCGTGACGGCGATGACGACGGCGAAGACGACGACGACGACAGACGACGACGACGACAGACGACGACAAGGAGGTGAGCGCGCGGCCGTGACGGCGATGACGACGACGGCGACAGACGACGACGACGACGACGAGGTTGACGACAGACAACGAAGACGACGACGACAACGACAGACGAGGGCAGATGATGACGACTACGCCGACAAGGAGGTCAGCACGCGGCCGTGACGGCGATGACGACGACGGCGAAGACGACGACGACGACAGACGTTGACGACAGACGACGACGACAGACGACGACGACAGACGACGACGACGACAGACGACGACGACGAGGAGGTGAGCACGCGGCCGTGACGGCGATGACGACGACGGCGAAGACGACGACGACGACGGCGACGGCGACGACGACGACGACGAGGAGGAGATGAGCACGCGGCCGTGACGGCGATGACGACGACGTCGAAGACGAAGACGACGACGACAGACGACGTCGACGACAGACGACGACGTCGACAGACAGACGACGACGACGACGACGACGAGGAGGTCAGCACGCGGCCGTAACGGCGATGACGACGACGGCGACGACGACGACGACGACGACAGACGACGGCGACGACAGACGACGACGACAACCCGACGACAGACGACGACGACAGACGACGAGGACGACGACGAGGAGATGAGCACACTACCGTGACGGCGATGACGACGGCGAAGACGACGACGACGACGACGACGACGTTGACGACAGACGACGACGACAGACGACGACGACGACCGACGACGACGACAGACGACGATCACGACGACAACGACGACGAGGAGGTAAGCACGCGGCCGTGACGGTGTTGAACCGGCCGTGACGGCGACGACGACGACGACAGACGAAAGACGACGACTGACGACGACGACGACAGACGACGAGGACAGACGACGCAACGACGACGACGACAGACGACGACGACGACGAGGAGGTGAGCACGCGGCCGTGACGGCGATGACGACGACGGCGAAGTCGACGACGACGACGATAACGACAGACGACGACAGACGTCGACGACAGACGACGACGACGACAGGCGACGACGACAGACGACGACGAGGAGGAGGTGAGCGCGCGGCCGTGACGGCGATGACGACGGTGAAGACGACAACGACAGACGACAGACGACAGACGACAGACGACGACGACCACGACAGAGGACGACGACGACAGACGACGACCACGACGACCACGACGACGATGAGGAGCTGAGCACGCGGCCGTGACGGCGATGACGACGACGACAGACGACGACGACGACGACGACGACGAAGACGACGTCGACGACGATGACGACGGCGACGACGACGACGACGACAGACGACGACGACGAGTAGATGAGCACGCGGCGGTGACGTCGAAGACGACGACGGCGAAGACGACGACGACGACGACAGACGACGACGACAGACGACGACGACAGACGACGACGACAACAACGAAGACGATGATGACGACGACGACAACGATGACCACGACGATGACGACGACGATGATGACGACGACGTCACTGCGCGGCGTCCATTGCCGGCGATCGAGGGGGGGGAGTTTCGGGTTTGAGGTTTGAGGTTTTCGGGCGTCTTCGTCGTCTCTCGGCGGTCTTCCAGCCTTTGGAAGCTCGCCAGCGGCTGCGCCTCGCCGAGTGCGTTCCGGGAGTACCCGGATCGTTCCCGACTCAGGACGGAAAGCTTGTCTGGGGGATCAACGGATGTCTGGGAGCGGGTCTTGGGGGAAACGCGATTGAGGGCCTACGACCCTCCTTTTCTTTGCTCCTGAATTTCCTTGGGATAGGCGACGACCATGGCGACGGTGACGGCGACGGCGAAGACGACGACTGCTTCTCACGCACGCCGAATGGTCGGTTGAATTTTCACCCCTAGGGGATGCAGGGGCCAAGTTTTTACGCATACCCACTGCGACCCTGTGTTAAGGCGCTGGTAGGCGATTGTGGGCCTGTTCCAGAATTCCGCGCCCCGATCCGAGAACTTCGCGCGACGCCTGCGCGACGCCCTCACGTCGCGCGAAGTCTGCGACCGCTGCCTGAAACCAGGGATCAGTAGCTATCGGCGCTCTGCAGGGGGCTGGAATACGAGGAATGAGGAGGAGGAGGATCAGCAGCAGCAGCGGGGAGAGAAGGGGGGAGTGCGACGATGAGGAGCAGGAGCAGCGAGGACGAGGAGCATGCAAGCGCAGTACCACGGAGGTAGGCTTCCATTGAACGGTGCGTGCGCGTCAGCACCACGTGCGCACGACATACGAGACCACAGTGACAGATCCACAGAAGAGATGTACACGTCGAGCGCACATAGCTGGAGACATAGAACAACACGTGATGGAGCCCAGAACAACAATAACAATGCCACAAATCAAAATTAACGAAGCAGGTTCCATACATTACCCCGGTGCGACCCTACCTAGAAGTTGGAGCCCCTAGGAAAGCAGCATGAGTTGCTATGCTATGCTATGCCATGCTATGCTGCGCTATGTTATGCTATGCTATGCTATGCTATGCTATGCTGCGCTATGATATGCTATGCTGTAATATGCTAAGCTATGTTATGGCATGCTGCGCTGTGCTATGCTGTGCTGTGCTATGCTATTATACTATGCGCTATGCTCTGCTCTGCTATGCTATGCTATGCTATGCTATGATGCGCTGTGCTGTGCTGTGCTGCGCTATGCTATGCTATGCTATGTTATGCTGCGCTATGCTATGCCATGCTGGGCTATGCCATGATATGCTGTGCTGCGCTATGCTAGTCTACGCTATGCCATGCTGTGCTCTGCTATGTTAAAGCTCAGCGAAGCTAATATGAAGATAAGCTAAGATGACATAAGCTAAGCTAATATGAGATAAGCAACGCTAAGCTAAGGGGACGTAACTGGGGGAATCGCGGGGCGGATGCCGGGGGAACCGCCCGGGGCGATTAGCACTGCCCGGCTCTTTAAGCACACAGGGTACGAACCTTTCTAGGCAGAGCCTAAGTAGGGAATAGGCTAAGCTAAGATGAGATAAGCAACGCTAAGCTAAAGGGCCGTCACTGGGGGAACCGCCAGGGGCGATTAGCACTGCCCGGCTCTTTAAGCACACAGGGTACGAACCCTTCTAGGCAGAGCCTAGGTACGGAATAACAAAACCATAACCAACATAACCAACCTATAACCAACACGCATAACCAAACTAGCACCCAAACGACACGCTATCGCATCACAAGTTAGACTCCTGGCACGCATGCGCAAAGTGGAAGGATGTCCCGAGCCAAAACGACGAAATCAGGGTCGCGCGACATTGTGAAACAAAAAGCCGCGCGAGATTCCACACCGCGCGTATGTAACCGCGAATCTTCGTGGCGCAGTCGCGCATTCCCCAAGACTAGGTCAAGCCAACCGACGCTTCAGATGTACCAGGCAGGGGAATCTGTGATAGTATTCAGATGCCAGATGTTCGATTCCGCGACAAGCTTTCAAATGGAACCAAGACGCTGCGCGCGTTCAGCTTCATCCCTCCTCTCCCATTCGCGTCAGGACTACAAGGGTTTGCCACTATCCCGCCCCATCGCCAGTGCTATCACAGCCATAGGCCATCTCCTCTGCCACTGCCACTTTGGCTCAACAAATTGGCCGCTCGGCGCGTTCTTGGGGCGCGTTTTGAACCGCGCGGGACGTCCAGAGTCGCGCGCGGTGCGCGGGCGAGATCTCTGCTTGGCGTCGCGCCCGTTGTAAGAGCAACGGAGGTGCGCGACTGGCGTTGTTTGGTGTTCTTGTTCCGGTCGCCTCTGGCCATGTCGGCGCGAAGGCGCCCGCGCGGCCGTTCTTGCAGTTTCGCGCAGCTCGAGGCGATCCCGCGCGGGTCTCAGGGACTTTGCGCCCTGTGCGCTGGCCGCGCGCACTTTTCCAAAGCATGCATCGGCGTCCTTGTTTGCATCTCAGCGCTGCAGCCTCCTCGTACCTCCTCCCTACCTCGGTTGCTCTCTCTCTCTGTCTCTCTCTCTCTTTGCCTGGCTGTCTGTCTGTCTGTCTGTCTGTCTGTCTGTCTGTCTGTCTGTCTGTCTGTCTGTCTGTCTGTCTGTCTGTCTGTCTGTCTGTCTGTCTGTCTGTCTGTCTGTCTGTCTGTCTGTCTGTCTGTCTGTCTCTCTCTCCCTCTCTCTCTGTCGTCATCTTATCCTTCCTCTTTCTGGTGCAGGGGCCGTGCCACTTACACGTGGCAGGCGTGGATTCGATGCCCTCCCGAGGGGCTACGATTGAGCACGGAGAGGCGGGCATCGAGGGTTTGTGGCTGTACATGCCGAGCGGCGCGCGAACAACGATGGGCGAACAACAGTCTCCAAACGGCTGCTGTCATTGCTGTTGTGGTCGTCCATTTCCCCCGCCTACTCCTCGTCCTCCCGCCTCCTCGCCCTCCTCCTCCTCCTCGCCCTCCCTTCCCCCATTCGTCATCCCCCCGTCCTCGTCTTCAACCTGCTCCACAGCCCCCCCGTCTCCCGCCCTCCCCCTCGCCTTCCCCCCCATCCCCCATCGGCGCGGAGCCCACTGGGAGGAAGTGGGGCCTGAGGCTCTGGAGTTGACCCGGGCCGCTCAACTCCATAGCGCCCTCTAGGCAAGGGCCCCCCCCCAAATTTTCCCATGGCCCCTCCGCCTCCTCGCCCCCGCCCCGCCGTCACGGGTGGTAGGGGCCCTGCAGCTCCCGGCGGGTGAGGGCACGGCGCGAGTGTATAGTAAGGTGGATGCGTTGTGGGATTGCGATCTCTGGGTGGATCGCAGCAGGAGGAGCAGGAGGAGGAAAGGGTTCAAGCCACCAGCGCCTCTTACTTTCCAGAGGTGGTTCGGGCGCTTGCGCCTCTTACGGAGGTTCGGAAGGATCGGTCACGTGCGCGGCAGGCCCGCGGCGCGGCGTACACGAGCACGTGGCCGCCTGCGGCGACGTGCGAGGATGAGGGGGAGAAGAGAGGAGGGAGGGGGAGGAGAGCCAGGTTTGGCTTGGCCTGGGTTGGCCTTCAAGGCCGTGAAACAGGCTCGCCCGAAGCCCTCGTGATCCAGCAGAGGCCCTCTCGACCGCTTGGCGACCCAGGCCCTGCACACGTGGGCGGTCGTCGGCCGTGATTCCGAACGCTCGGGACACCCTGTCCAGGCCAGCCACAGCCGGGGGAGCTGTGGTCCTTACGCCCCCTGGGGGGACCCATCGATTTCGACACCCCTCTCGAGAGATCGTCGACGCGATGGGTTCCCCCAGGGGGGTAAGGACCACAGCTCCCCCAGCTATGGCTGGTCGGCTTTCCACCCACGTCCCCCCGCCCCAACCACTGAGACAGACTCGGCAGCGGCGGCGGGGCGGGCTGGTTTGCCGCCTCCCCTGCAGCGCCAGGCGGTCAGCAGGCAGCACAACGTGGGGACGACAAAGGCACACCTGTATTGGGGAAGTTGGCCCAGGTCTATGCGCCTGAGCCGCTCAGTCGTCCCCCTCCCCAGGTACCCGCTGCAAAAACCTCGAAACCCAGGCGAGAGCTTCCAGTCGGAGCTGACAGCTCCGCAGCACGAACAGAGGAGGATGAATCATCTTCGAGAGGTGTTTGTTTCAAGATCGGTCTGCAACAGGGGATGTTGACGCCGAACTCGCCCCACGCAGGCCCAGCCCCGCTCCCAAGCTCCGCCCCTCCTTCCTTGTCGCGCTAATCTGGCGGCTCCTGGTCGGGGCTGGCCGCATCCTCGGGGCCAACCGCACCCTGGGACGCTGAGCGGTCGCCAGGTAGGCTAAGGACGTGGGCCTCTGCAGCCTACTCGGCAATCTCATGCGCACAGACCTGAAGCCTTCTCCAGAGCTCACGCAGAGTAGGGTCGACAACGTGCAGGGTTGCGCTGCGCTTCGCCAGCTCATCTGCCGTCTGATTCGCAGCACGCTCACATCTCCGTGGTGAGTCCTGAATCAATGTCAGCACGCGAACAGTGAGCATTAGTCACTGAAGGGGTCCTAGCAGAAATTGAAAGATTTGGCGAAAGTTTCCCGCCGATTTTGGTAGCTGGCTTGGTTCCCGTGTTCCCGCTTCCGGGATCCCCGGTTCCTGGTCATTGGTTCCGCGCCGGTTTCGGTGGGTTTTGGGTTCCCGGGTTCCTGGTCGATCTTCTCATCGATTTTGTTATCGATCCCATCTCAATACATCCATTGATTATGATTTTCCTTTGGTCGATCTTCTCATCGATTTTGTTATCGATCCCATCTCAATGCATCCATTGATTCGGATTTCCCTTTTGTATAATATTAATACTCCCACTGTGGGAGCTGGCCCAAATCTGGCTCCAAACATGCGCTCGAGGGTTAGTGCTCCCCGCCCCAACCCCGTTCCCCTGGCCAGTCCGGACCCACAGTGCCAGCACAGTCCGAGTACACGTCACAGGTGGGGGGGGGGGGCTATCTGCGTGAGCATACTGATTGCAAAGTCCTCCCCGCCACAGCAGGCTCGACGCGGGCTACAGTTGATGGCGCAAGACCGACCGCCGCCGCCGTCGCTATGCCAAAACGATCCACTGACCAGGCAGTCGGCCCACCAGGCCGGACCGTCTGTCAACGGTAGCCTTGCGGGGAGGCCCAAGTCAGGCGTGTTCCCCCAGCAGATGCAGTGCTCGGGTTCCGCGAGGACCTCCGACAGCCCCGAGGGGGAATCTGGAAGACACCTCGGGCGAAGCGCTCCCCCACGTCGGGCGGCCCAGCTCCTCGACCCGCGCCGCTCGGACCCGACGGAAGACTCCGGAGCTCTCGCGCTCCTCGGGCTGGCGATGGCGGGGCAGGCGTGGCGTCTGTGCAAAAGGGACCCGTCGGGGTGGCCACGTCTCTGGCAACTTCCTGACTGTGACAAGCCATGCTGCTTCAACCTGCGCTGCTGCGAGCGCCAGCCTGACATCAGCGACCTCGGCGTGCGCTGGCGCCGCTTGGTCCAGCATCTCCTCTCGGACACACCGTGCAACATTGGGATCCCAGAGCTCGCCAGAAGATCGGCTTGCACCAAGGCGCCTCTGGCTCACGCTCGAAGAGGGCCCGGCGGTCGGAAGCTCGGATCACCCCCTCCACCGCCAACGCCTTGCGGGCGGGATAATTTGCAAATCTAGCAGCATGGCCAGTACAGAGCTCGCACGAAATTCCCACCCAACCTCTGCCGGCGGCACCGCCGACGACCAAGGAGATTTGAAACTCTGGATCTTGTGGGTCAAGCCCTCCAGCCACGTCTGCGAAACTCGAGACTTCGGAGAAGATTTCAAGACAGGAGGGGCAGGAGGAGGAGGAGGAGGAGGAGGAGGAGGACCAGCAGGACGAGAAGGAGCAGGAGGTGCCTCTTCCCTGACGCTACGGGCCGTGGCGCCCAGCAGCCTGGTCAAGGACAGAAAAGGTACCTCTTCCCATACCTCTCCTTCTGCGGAGCGGTGCGCGCGCTGCGGAGCTAGTCCCCGCGGCGAGAGAGGGCGTGGTGGGGCCCCCTTTGGGCCAGTGCCCAGGGGTCAAATGTGCTCTTGCGCTTGACCTTTGCAGATCCGCCGGGGGCAGGAGAAGGACGAGGAGGACCAGGACGCGAGGAAGAGGCTTTTCAGCTTTCGCCAACTTCTTGCGCGTCCTATTCCACACAACTTGCTCCCCAAACCCGCTGCCACTTTGTACTGAGTCGGATGCTTCTTTCCTTGCAATCGACCCGCATGGTAAGGATGAGCGCCCTTCCCAAGGGTACCCTTGCATCCTTGCCTCCTCGCTCCATCCTTGGCATTTTCGTTGGCTCCGCCCCGCTCGAAAAGCTTCGAAACGGTCTTCCAAGGTCCTTTGCATCCTTACCGCGCATCCTTATGATGCGGGTCGACTGTAGAACGCTACAGCTCCGCTGCTTGAGCTTGCCTAATTCGACCCAGACAGGCGACGTCTTGGTTTTATCAGTACGCACGGGGCCCCTGGAAGTCCCGACCCCCTTCTCGGAGACGAGTTTTTCGTCCCGGGGCATTCTCTGACAGCCCCGAGGCCCGGCGGGGGGCGCCCCGAGGCCGAAGATGGCCGGATACCTTCCGTCCTTCCTGTTCTCACGACGCGGTCAGATCGTCTTTGGGGGGGAAGTCCGCCCGGAAGCTGCTCCCCCCAAACACACCCGGGCAGGCCGCACCGGGAGGAGGAGGAGAAGGAGGAGGAGGGAGGAGGAGGAGGAGGAGGAGGGAGGAGGAGGGAGGAGGAGGAGGGAGGAGGAAGGAGGAGGAGGAAGGAGGAGGAGGAAGGAGGAGGAGGAGGAGGAGGAGAAGGAGGAGGAGGAGGAGGAGGAGGAGAAGGAGACCCAGACATGCGACGTCCTGTTTTTTGGGGACGGCGTCCTCGGAAGTCCAGACCCTTTCCCCAGGACCGGCTTTTCATCCTGAGCCGTCTTTTGACGGTCCTGAGGACCGCGAGGGCCCCCAGGGGCCGAAATTAGCGAAAGACCTTCGCCCTGATTCTTTCACGACGCGGTCGTGTCTGGGGTTATGTTGCTCCCATCCTATTTTAGGACCACATCCCAGAAATATTTTCGAGCACCCAGAAAAGTTTCGAAACAGTGTCGAACGAGTGTCGCCTCCCAGGGCCCGACACGTGAAAGCCCTCAAGTTTCGGCACTTTCTGGGTGCTCGAAGTTGTTCCTGGCGGTCAAGGCTAAAGTAGGTTGGTAAAGCACTAGTCTGGGGAAGGACCCCACCACCCGAGCAGGCCGCGCCAGGAGGAGGATAAGGAGGATGAGGGCGGAGCAGGAGGGAGGAGGAGGAGGAGGAGGAGGAGGAGGAGGAGGAGGAGGAGGGAGAAGGAAGAGGAGGAGGGAGGAGGAAGGAGGAGGAGGAGGAGGAGGAGGAGGAGGAGGAGGAGGAGGAGGAGGAGAGAGGAGGAGGGAGGAGGAGGACATGAGGAGGGAGGAGGAGGAGGAGTGAGGAGGAGGGAAGAGCATCACCTAGTCTGGGGAAGGACCCCGCCCACCCGGGCAGGCCGCGCCGGGCGGCCCCCCGCACCGCGCCCTCAGCGCCTGCGAGCTGCCGACGCCCACCGCGCAGGAGGCCTCGCGGGCGCTGCGGGGCGCCGGGTGCGCGGAGCGCGGCGCGGCGGAGCGGCTGCGCGCCCCGAGCGCAGGCGGGGCTTCCGACACGTCGTTGCCGTCGTCGCCGTCGCCGTCGCCGTCGCCGTCGTCGACGTCGGCGTCGGCGTCGTCGGCGTCGGCGTCGGCGTCGGCGTCGGCGTCGGCGTCGTCGTCGTCATCGGCGTCGTCGTCGTCGCTGCCGTCGTCGTCGGTGGTTCGCTTCTCGCCCGTGGGGCCTCGCGGGAGGGGGGCCCTCGCCGCCGCGGCCGGGCCCGCCCCGAAGCCCGGTCTCGAGTGAGGGGGTGGACTACGGTGGAGGCCCATGCCAAGCAAGCTCTGTGCTTGCCTCCAGGGTGTCTTGAGTTCTCGGGTCTCGAGTTTGGGGATGGACTACGGTGTCGGGGGCGGACAGAACCCCCAACAGTGACACGTCGATTAGTGAATTGTCCGTTTTCGGTTCTCGAGAGGGCGCCGTGGCTGTCATTTTCCAGGCTTGCGCCCGCCAGGTTTGGGCCTCAGGTCGTTTTCACTAAACCACGTTTTACTAAAGGGAGGTCTGTCCATCCCCGACGGTGGAAGCCCATGCCAAGAAAGCCCTCTGCTTGCCTCCAGGGTGTCTTGAGTTTCTCGGGTCTCGATGCGTTTGCGATGGAACGCGTGACGTTGCCGCACCAAAGGTCACTGGACGTCCTGCGGTCTCAGGGCTGGGTTTCTTGTGGAACGTTTCTCGTGGTCGAGCTCCTACTGGAATGATCATCGTCGTCTGCGTCATCACCATCATCGTCATCAGCATCAACACCACCACTACCACCATCATCACCACCATCAGCACGATCGCCATCGCCAGCATCACCGCCACCACCATCATCATTGTCATCATCACCGTCAGCAACGTCATCACCATTATCACCAACCTCGTTCCCAGCCACCATCAGCATCAATACACGTTTCATAATACCTACCATTACCAGCATTAGTATCGTCATCCTCTTCATCATCGTCAACATCGTCAGCATCATCATCAGCAGCATCATCACCACCATCATCATCAGCATCATCAGTATCATCACAATCATCATCAGCAGCATCATCATCTTTATCATCACCAATATCATCGTCATAGTCATCAGCATCATCTTTATCAACACACAGCCTCCTCCTCCTCATCACATCATCATCGTAGTCGTCGCCGTCTTTGTCATCATAGTCACCATCAGCAGCATACTCAGCAGCAGCCGCATTATTATCAGCATAATCATAATCATCATAATCATCATCCTTAGCCTCATCCTCATCAGAATCACCATCAGCATCCTCAGCACCAGCATCACCATCCTCAGCATTAGCACCATCAGCATCATCATCCTGATCATCATCAGCTCATCGTTCTCCACATCAGCATGATCGCAGCGATCCCTTCCCTCCCTCGTTTCTCTCCTCCTTCACCTTTCTGTATGCCCTCTCCTTCTCCACCCTCTGCATCCTCGCTCCTCGTTCCCTTCTTCGCCCTCGCTCCCTCTTCCTCTCCTCCATCATTCGTTCATCCTCACCCTCTTCATCCTCCCACGCACTCCCAGTGGAGAAGGGAAAGCAGGATGATAACAGCTGAGCAGAATGAGGATGAGGAGGAGTGGAAGGAGGATCAGGATCACAGGAGGAGTGGGGAGGAGGATCAGGATCAGAAGAGGAGGAAGAGTAGGAGGAGGAGGAGGAGGAGACTGGAAGGAGATTGCGGCGATCGAGGACCGCCCCTGGAGGCCACCCTCCGAAAAGTCCTTGTCATTCCAACGTCACTCCAACGTCGCGACCTCTTCGTGACTTGGGCACCCCTTCCCTGGACCAGATGTTCGTC